AAAACACCTGGTTTAAGACCAGAATAATTTACTAGTATGGTGTAGGGCAGGCATGTCCAAACTCGGTCTTGGAGGGCCGGTGTCCTGCTGAGTTTAGCTCCAACTTGCTTCAAAACCCCTGCAGGAAGTTTCTAGTATATCTACCAAGAAAGAGCTTGATTAGCTGGTTCAGGTGTGATTGGGTTGGAGCTAAACTCTCCAGGACACCGGCCCTCCAGGACCGAGTTTGGACAATTGCGGAACTGTGGCTAGGTCACTACCTGATGCTGATGGAGGAAAACGTTTCCTGAAATGTTCCTCCAAAACACACGAAAGAAGCTTAATAGTATTTAACTCTGTTGACTGTGCAGGCCATTGGGAAATGTTCAGCTTCACTTTCATGTTCAACAAACCACTCTGTCACCAGCCTTGTTGTATTGGTGCATTATCATCCGCATACATGGCACTGCCTTCTAAAACATGGTCCTCCAAAATGGTTCAGTGGTCCTTGGTCATGACGCATCAATCTAGCAACAGTATTGTTCGGGAATGCCATGAAATTGCAGAACAAACGATCGCTGGTCCACCCCCATGCTTCATTCTGGGCATGCAACAAGTCTTGGTGGTATGATTCTTTGGGGCTTTTTTTACACCATAACTCTTCCATATGTGGCAAAGACAGTAAAGGTGGACATCTGAGAACAATACATGTTTCACATTGTTCACAGCCCAAGATTTTTACTGCTGGCACCATTGAAACCGACATTTGGCTATGGCAGAAGTAACCTAAGGTTTGACTATTGCAGCCCGGCCCTGTACATTGACCCTGTGGAGTTCCCAACAAACAGTTTTGAAGAAAACGGGAGAGTTGAGGTGCACATTTAATTCAGCAGTGAGTTGGGCAGCTGTGGTTTTGTGTTTTTTAATATAACCTGAAATAGAAGCTGGTTTGATGTAGTGTGTGCTTCTTTGTGTAATCTTGACATTACCCTGGATACTGTGGCTTTTGATACATCACAAAGACTTGCTGTCTTGGTTGAAGATGCGCCACCGAGATGCATACCAACAATTTGTCTTCTAAATTCTGATATGTCACCCATAATGTTGTGTGCATTGCAATATTTTAAGCAAAAATGTGCTACTACTCTGCACATTCCACCAGTAAGAACGAAGTGTGAGGGTTTAATTAGCAGTCAATGAAAATTCGCCTCCAGGATGGTCTAATTTAACCTTGAAACTTTCAACATTAATTGGCCATTGTTTAAATTGTATTGTCCAACACCTGTATATATTCTGTTCATTAATTCCTTCATTTTCCTTTGGCTTAGTCTCTTTATTCATCAGGGGTCACCACAGTGGAATGAACCGTCAAGTTATCCTGCTAATGTTTTACATAGCAAATGCCCTTCCGGCTACAAGCAGTAGTAGTAGTGGGACACATTTATACACACTCATACACACATTTGGTTTATTTAATTCATCTATAGCACATGTCTTTGGACTGTGGGGGAAAATGCAAACATGGGGAAAACATGCAAACTCCACACAGAAATGCCAACTGACCCAGCCAAAACTAGAACCAGCAACTGGCTCTTACTATGAGGTGGCAGTGCTAACTTTTATTATTTATTTATTTAATATTAAATAATAATATTGAAATAGTTAAAAACTGCTTTTACTCCAGCTAAACTAAAATAAACATTATTTTTTTCATTATAAAATATATAGGAAATACTGTTAAATTGTCCTTGCTCTATTTGAACATCACTTGAACAATATGGTATATAATATATTTATATAAATATGTATACACACAAAAACCAATACCCACAGAGAAACTTAACATAAAGTAATTGTGAAGAACAGTCTCTCTTATTGGATAGGCCCATATTTGTGACCCAAGGGAAACAAAAGACGTTTCATTGTTGAACAGTCCCTCGCCTACTTCCACTGCATAATAAAAACCTCACCAGCATCAGAGCCAATCACTGAACATCCTCACTGTGGAGAGCCAATGGTTGAGTTTCAGTGGGTGGGGCCTGTCCGATGAATGCAGGTTGCGATCCCGAAACCAGCGGGTGTTGTCTCTTTAGAATGAGCTACTGCTCAGGTTTATATTGGGCGGGAGTGACTCTGAGCACGGCCTGTCACTGCACTGGCAGAACTCCCACTGGAATACATTCCTGCTCATTCTGACACGGCTGAACACTGTAGTGCCACTGAGAGAGAGACACGGCACACTGGGAAGAGCAAAAGTTCAGAGAGTGTTTCCCTGGGTCCAACATCTGTTTATTTGCCCCTGTGGGGCACTTCTAGTTTACTTTTGTTTTTATATATATATTTATTTATTTATTTATTTTTCTCTGGTGTGACTTGAGCAACAGAAAGACAAACAGGTAAGCTCAAAGAACACTTTTGACTGTGAATTGGGATGCTGTAAAATAGTTTGCCTGTCTGTTTTCGGCTTGTGTGACTGAGAAATGCTATGAGACACATGTTGAGTTCATACCCTGTCTTCACGTCTGCCGGGATTTCGTTGGTTTAGCACCGCAGCTGTTTGTGATTGTTTGTCTTAGTTGTAGGATTGACTGTTTGTGATTCAGTTTTGTAATGTTGTCATTAGCAGTTTCTGTCTAGTGGGTTAATCTGATTCAGGTACAGGATAGAAATCTGCTTTTCTCCACCTCACCAGTTGGACTGGCTCTGCTCTATTGACTTAAATTAGTCATTCATTGGTGTTCAGGTAGTAGAGATGACATCAGCTCCATCATTACTGTGTGGATTATCTCACAGTGTTTTATTTTTATGCTTGCTTGGTTTTTTACATCATATGGGATGGACTCAGAGTTTATAAGATACTAATGAGTTTATGGGTTTTGTGAAGACTAAATAATTAGCACTTATAATATTCTTAAAATAAAGATTTTAAAAATAAAACGGTATTGCTTCTGTTTTCTGAAAGGTTTTTTACCCACTAAACTGCCTGCTCTACCAATGGTTGTACATATTTTGACTGCTTTGAAAAAATGGCTGTTAATATCATGTAAATAATGATTGTTTTAAATAATGCTTTAAACACAGCATTGTCAGTTTGCAAAAAATCTAACAAACATAGTCCTATTGCACTACTACACTTGTTTTTGGTTTTATTGTTTAAAAAAAAAAATATTCCATGAGAATTTGATGTATTTTATGATCTACTTTAAAAATAAAGATGATTTAGGCTTCAAAAATGTCTTTTATTATGTTTCTAAATAAATTGATCTTACACTTCATATTTTCAGATTTTTCATATTATGTATAAATTCCAGTACTTTTACCATAAACCGACATAACCATTGGGTAGAGGTTCAAATTTTAGAAATGATGGGATGTGTTAAAAATGCATCGAGTGTGTTAACTAATGATATTATGAGTTTAAAAATTCTATCCAATTTTTTTTTCCTTGGTGGGGCAGTTAAAGGGTTAAGAAACCCAAATGGTTCTTCTCTGGCACTGCTGTAAAATCCTTTTTTTTTTTTTTTATTAATGAGTGTTTTCCAACAATGACACCATTTATTAAATAACCTTTCAGTAAACAGTTATTAGAATAATAAGAGTTTAAAATTAAAGAAGAACTTTCCCCAAAAATAAGGACCTTTTGTGGAAGGAACGAGCCCATGGATTCTTTACAGTTTCTTCATGGCCCTATTAATATCAATAAATAATCTTTACACTCACAAAAATAAATGTTCCACAAGTAAGAGTTTGCAGTGATGTCTCAGAAGAAGAATTTTGTGTGTATTTATTAAGAGTTATTAAAATAACTTTTTTAATTTTCAAAATCGCACAACATTGACAAACAAAGCAATAACGATGGTGTTGAATCCTCTGGTTTTACCTGAGAATCAGTTCATTGTCCTGTTTTATCTTTTCCAACAGTTTTGCATAGGCAGTTTACAAAAGGAGTATGACTGGAAACTTGATGTTGCTGTTTAATGTTGAATTCTTGCTTGATGATGTTTGTATATGAATGCAGATTTCATAACTTCACTATTACCAATAAACTGGTCTCTTATGTAAAGTTAAAGGGTTTAAAACAAAATCATGTATTTTTTCAGTAATATAGAAGCCACACATTAAAATATCTTTCAGTGTAATTTAAATACCAAACAATTGGCAGGCAAATTTTTAATAATTTCGTATGGTGGCGTATTAATAGACTTTATTAAAGGGTTACAGTGCTGAATACCTTTGAATATTACACTTCTTTCAGCATGCCAAGAAACTAAATACTTCTTTTTTTAATTTAATATTTTATATATTTATTTCAATTTAATGGTCAAATTTAAAAAGTATGGACGATCACATTGGAAGATTTGATTTTGACATTTTCGTTTCCTTGTATCAAACAATAAAATACACAATTTGCTTGAATGTCTCTTACTGTATTTAAAGTCATTAAATGTGTCATATGGACCCCGAAATGTTATTTCTCATCTCTGACCCCAAACAAACATTAGACGTCTGATAGACGTGCTATCATGTCTGTATTGCAGTGTAATAGATGTCGTTTAGACGTGTCTTGTGCAGTGGGAAATATTATTAATATTATTTCATTTGGTAAAAACCACTATTGAAGGCAAAACTTGATCAGGTACAAGACTGTTTTACCCTACATATTCATATTATGATTAAAAAATGAATTATGTACCGAGTACACATGTATTGTCAAAAACCCAGGGAAGAAATGCTACAAAAACTTCAGATGGTACATTCTGTGCCTTATTTTCCAATAATGGTACCAACCCACTGACAGATTTTGTATCTCTTTAGGAGCATAATAGTAATAGTTTGTCTTTGATAACATCTGAGGTGCAGCTTTATATGGTGTTCGCTTGGCCAGCTGTTTCCTGTTTGCTTTTGCTGTGCTTTCATTGTTGACTCAGTCTGTACTGTCCCGATAATGCCATGTTCTCTGACCAGCCGGATCTTTGTCTTCTGCTTTTGTTTAAACACATTTGACTTCTTATGTCCTCCAGGTTATTGACTGGCTGAAGAAACAACGACAAGATGTTTCAAGAGGTGCTTTCAAACATCTTGAGGTTCCACGACTATCTCTTGAAAAGAACTGGTAAGCAATTGCTAAATAAACACCAAACAAGTAAACTTAAGTAAGCATCAATCCGACTTATTGGACATGTTATGCACTTAAATATTGAAGCATTAATTAGGTGGTCTTGTGTTTTACACAGGTAATGACTGTAGAAAGATGTGATATTGTCTTGTATGGTGTAACTGATCAGATAATGTGTTATTCGCTCAGATGCCAGAGTGCGGGATTATCCGTTGATGCAGAGTCCCATTCTTATGACGTTCATCTTGCTGGGATACGTCTTCTCCGTTTTGTATGTGGGACCTCGATACATGGCCAGTCGGAAACCTTTCCGCCTCAACACAGCCATGATTGCCTATAACTTCTTTATGGTGGCCTTCAATGCTTACACTGTTTATGAGGTAGGATATAGTTATGTTTGTTTGAATGTATGTTTGGGAGAGTAACTACGCTTATTTTTACTACATATACACTCACCGGCCACTTTATTAGGTATGTCTTGGTTTGAGCTCACTTTTAGCTCTCGAACTTAAAGGGATAGTTCAACCAAAAATGAAAATTCTGTCCTTATCAGTGGTGTAAATTAACAAATTACAAATACTCAAACTATTGTAATTAAGTAGTTTTTCTCAGAAATTGATTATGAATTGATTAATAAATTACTAAGTAGTTTTGAAAATGTGTACTTTTACTTTCTTGAGCACATTTTTAGTGTGGTGTTGGTACTTTTACTCCACTAATTTCCTTCATCCTGCAGTCACAACTTTATTGTTCCCGTCTATGGGGATTAGAAAAATGAGTCTATCAATTACCGTCCAATCATATCGCAAATAGAAAATAAATTACATCATACTGAACTAATCTAAAACATGCAGCAAACTGTTTGGAAACATTAAATGTGTGCAAGAAGATACTTTGCATGCAATGACCCAGAGACTGTTTAGACTGATTGTTACTGACGAGAAGATAACAGATGTTCACTTTATGATGACCGAAATAGCCTTTAAGAATCACTAAATGCACTACAGAATGTTACGTTTTTACACACACACGCAAAAATGACATGTAAATGCATCAGCCTTTCCCAGCGTAATTACTACTCTGGAGTACTTTAAAGAGGCTCCTTTTAACTCATAGTCTGAGTAATATTTACGACAGATACTTTTACTCGCACTACATTTTTGGGCAAGTGTACTTTTCACTTGAGTTAGATTTTTCAATACTCTTTCCGCCACTGGTTATCATTTACATCAAAACCTATAAGCAGTGTTGGGCAAGCTACTTAAAAAATGTAGAGAGCTAAGCTATTCGCTATTCTTCTTAAAATGTAGCTTAACTACACTAAAGCTACCCCCTGGGAAATGTAGCAAGCTAAGCTAAAAGCTACATGGCAAAAGTAGCTTAGTTACATCTAAATTATTTTTACAATTTTCATTTTAAAATCGAAGCAACTTAAATTCAAGTCAATCATATCTTAGTGATCAATAAAACTGTCAATGAAACATGAAGCATAATAGTTCAGTTCAGTTATTTACTGTAAATAATATGCTTTAATAAACAGAAACAGCATCAGATATTAAGTTATTGCATCTTAATGTACTTCAGAAATAACTCTTCTCCCTCAGTCATCTTTCCATCAAGCAAGTTTCACCAGAGGTGGCAGTAACGCACCAAAAACTTTGTTGTCGAACACCGTAAAACAGGAAGAAGACTTCCTCATTCTCACAATCATATGGATTTACTTTCATCGGCTACACACCGGCCTCACAGCTCCGTGAATCTTGGTGCCATCACTTATTGATCCGCGATCGGTAAATGTAGCTTTGTGGACGCTACTGTGTAGCTACTTGTAGCGACGCTACTGCCCAACACTGCCTATCAGTTTCTTTCTTCTGTTCAACACAAAAGAAGGTATTTTGAGAAAATGCTTGTGGCTAGTACCCATTGACATTCATTTTAATTTATTAAGTTAATGTGTGCCAGCAAATATCATCTTTTGTGTTCATCAAAAGAAAGAAAGTCATGAAGGTTTAAAACCACGTGAGGTAGAATAAATATTGTGTGTCATTTAAATTTCTTTGGTGAACTATGCCTTTAACATTAGAACTGTCGGAGGTTGCTGTATACCTAAAATCACCAGTGCGAGTAAATTTTACCCAGCACAACTTTTGTTTAGAAATTGCTAAAAAACAAACATACTATTTCACCACTTTTTCGCCACTGTGTCTAGACTCATGAAATTATTATTTCAGGGTAACAAGATTATTTTAGAAGTAGGTGATGAATAGGTTAAAATATCTAAATTTGAGCCATCATACTCTGCATAACTGATTTCTCCAAACTCTCCATCATTCATTTCATTTCATGTGTTTAATAGCTTTATAATCACCTTCTTTTTGTCGTTTATTATAACCACTAATTCAGTGAGTGTAATCGAAAGTAAAATGGAATGGATGTGTGAATGGTCTTTTCCGGGAAAATTCCGTAACGTGTGTGCCTGTGTGAACAGCACTTTTTTGAATTTACCGGTCAAGTCATTTCGGAAATCTTCTGGATATTTACTGATATCACTGTGTGAAAGGGGCTATTGTCCGACTTTTTAATCTATTTTTATTTAAACAGTTTTTATATCTGGGAATTGTAAATAAGACAGTTTGAGTACAAGGCAATGACTGGGAGGCTTGAATGTTTTATTGAATGTCTGTTATGTACATTTAAATAACAGTGATCTGTAAAATTGAACCCATGGCAGTTTTAATGTTAAATGTGAATTGAACAATTTTATTTGACATATTTAAACAAACTGCACCAAATACAAGTATTCCATACATTTTGAAATAAAACTGTTGAGGATACAAACACAATCAAACCCTGGGCTTGTTTCCATTGTGGTCCTCGCTGTTAAAGTAAAGTATGGCTTCAAAGTATAGCTAATACATAAAACAGACAGAACCTCCCCATTTTAAAAACAAGAACACAATTATTAACAACACGTACTATAAAATATAGAACAACATCATCCACCATGCAAACTAATGCCAAGTTCAGACTTCATGATTCTCAAAGCAATCGTGTCACAGATGTTTTCACACTCATGACTATCTGGGGTAGCATTCTGTTGCTGCTTTGTTTACATTGCAAGATGGACTGGCGACATAGAGTTTCACACTGCATGACTTTACAATCGAAGAATCGCAGACAACTTTTTCCAAACTACGTCTCACAACCGAACACAAAGTACACACAGTATATATTGTATTATTAACTACATAATGAGAAAGAAGCCTTTATTGGGGTAGAAAATGTACATATTTGCTCACCTAAGTTTTGAAGAGAATTAGCAATTTCTTAACTTTTTTTCTTTTTCCACCCAGTTGTGGTATTGCTCAGATGACACGTCAAATGTAAGTGCTCCTGCCAAATTTACACTAGTTTTTCCTCTAATTCTTGGGTCCAAATAAACTGAAAATGAGCGCTTTTACCTTCTCCCCCAACCTTGCGGATATCCATACTAGTGGATGCTGCTTTCTCATTGGCTGTAGGTAATTGCCGGTGTTATTTTCGGTTAAAACTCATTTCACACGGAATGATTTCACATGGCATGATAGGTGACTCATCTGCGATTCTCTCAGATCCTGTCTTGGATGGTCCATAATGGATGATTTTTACTCATGAATGAGCACCGATTTGCCTGTGATTTCAGACATTTGTTGGCGAATTTCTCAAAATCAGGGCTAAATCAAGCTGTCTGAACTCGTCACTACTATAATCATTAAACAACCATCTTTTGATCATTTGTTTGAATCTCCCTTAGTCTTTTATTTCCTTGATTGCTTTAGGTAACTTGTTCCACATGATTGCAATGGTGGATAAAACATTGCACTTGTAAAATTAAGGGTACAGTAGATGATCTGTCTAAATGTAAACCAGTTAGCATAATATCTTTTAAATACAATTCCTCCCCTGTTGTCCAAAGCCATGCCTCCCGAAAAAATGAACACGCACATTAAAGATGACAGAGACGTTATCCAGCACGTTTTTATGCAGCGGATGCCCTTAAGGCTGCAACCCATCTCTGGGAAAATGATACAAATATATCATATAATTGTATATCATATAAAATTATTATTACAATATGATATAATTATTATTTAATTATTCATAATAGTTTATTTTGTGTCTTTTACATACGCTGTGAGCAGCTACCATACCAAAATGAGGTAAAGATCTCAATCCAACACAGCACCTTTGGAATGTGCGTAAATAAAAGATCCATAGTTGTGCAAAGGACAAATCGCCTGCAACTACATGATGTTGTTATGTTCATAAGGACCAAAATGTCTGAAGATTGTTTACAGCAAATTATTAGTTTTGTTTTGTTTTTACTGATGAACACAAAAGTTGATATTTTGAAGAATGTTGGTAACCAGAATGAAGTGCTGCATCCCAATTATCCCGATTATACTACATCCTAAAAGTTTGTACTTTTTGTGTGATACTTTTGAATGTGCAACAAAAGAGTATGCAAGGTTTGGGACATTTGTCTTCCTTAATAACTGACCGTTATGTTGCATAGATATGTGCCCGGTTAGACCATTATGTTGCTCATTTAAATGCCCTGTCAGTCATCTAGACATTTCATCAACATGTCTTTTATTTTTAGTTTCTACCATATTAAAGAAGCAGCAGCAGGTTAGTCTGCTATTCATGAGTCTTTTATGAAGAGAAATCGTTTCAGGTGTTTGCATAATTATGCATTTAAACGTTGATGTCCAAACACATCTCTATAAAAGCTCACATTGTTGCCGCAGGTAAAATATAATGCAAATAGCAAGTTATTTAAATATTTTACAATAGGTTAGATATTAATTAACAGTCATTCACCAACAGTCATTCACTTTACCAAAGCCTTACCACTTAATTTTCGGTCTTGCACATCCGCCATGTCTGTAGTTTGTTAACACTTTTTAAACATGTTTGTAGTTTTCATCGAATTTAGGTCCAACGCAGAATGCATTAGCTTTTAAAGTAGCCATAAAACTTCTCTTTTTTTTTCTTTTTGGAACAGTAGATCATCTGGGCAACTTTACCTAAGAAATACTCATTTCCACATACCATGATTCAGGACATACTAATTCTAAATTAATACTAGGATGGAATTGTGTAGGGACATCAACTGTCTGGTTTCTAATATGCTTTAAAATATCTACTTTTGCGTATAAGTAAGTGTACAAGTAACTTGAGAGTGAGTTGAGAATGTGGTGTGTGATTCCCTTCTCTGCCAGAGACTGCTCTATGGGGTTAAAACCCTTTTCAAACTGTATGGTTTAGATATGTATAGTTTTATATATATATATATATATATATATATATATATATATATATATATATATATATATATATATATATATATATATATATATTAAATGTAGTAGTTGTGGATGTCTGATGACTAGTGCGCTTCCGCTGAACTAGCTATGGTAGCTTGGCAACAGAGCCGCAATGTCAACACACAGAATCTGTCAGCACGGTTGTCCAACCATGCCAAGAATTCCTGGCTGAGAACAGTTTATAATCGTGCTGTGCCATTCCAGGCTCAGTAAAGAAGCAACCGTTACCGTACCGAAGTGTTCTTAGAACAGTTCGGCACGATGGTAGAAAAGCGGCTAATGATATGATTAAGGTGTTTTTATGAGTTGTGTTTAGAATGTCTCTCGCATTTCATGTTCTGTTTTAAATGTTATAGTACATAGATCAATTAACGTCCTACATCACCGCACCATCAAACATTTCTTCTGAAGTTTCATGTAGTTTTGAGCGTTTAGTTTTTTAACAGTTCACAGTTTCACTTTCATTCAGCAATATTTCATTCATCCCCCCACAACAAACTGAGCTACTAGATGAGGGTATGAAGTAAGGACTAATAGGATATGGTATTTTTTTTTAAAAATGTATGGAATTTGATACCGCATGCCGAATGGAAACAAAAACGTGCACATTGCCTGGACAGCATTTGTGCAACTGCTAGCATTGAATGTAATAAATCTTCAGCGATTCACTTTGTGCACTTGAACCCTTGGAGATGAGGGTATCTGTGGTCTTGTACTTACTGTGTAGGTGCAAAGAATATAGTGTCAAACTGCCTTCTGTAAATGGACTATCCTGTGGCAATATGCTGTGAAAAGTCCTACATGATCATAAAAAGTTAGATTTTTTGAAGGTTTTTACATGTCTGTGCTTCACTGCAATAATGCGACTCAAATAGGAATATGCCATGTGTCTTAATTCAATTTGTGTTTACTACAATTATGACTTTAGCCGGATTAAGGTAATCAAAAATCTGTTTATGTTGTAGACTGTTAATTAAAGAATTGTCTTAATGTTTAAAAATTGGAGTAATAAATTTCATTATCCTAAAATTTACTCACCCTCAAGCCATTATCAGTATAAATTACTTTTTTTTTCAATGAGATGAGCACAGTCGGATTAGTTAAAAGCTTTATCCTGGTTCTTCCATGTTGTAAAATGTTGTTGGACAGTGGCATTTATTTTTAAGCCTCTAAAAGTGCATAAATCTATTAAATTTATTAAAATTATTGTATGCCTTATGAATCAGGTCAAAGAGTATTTGTAGCAAAAATATTTAAGATTTTTGTTTTAATTATAGACTCTAAATAATAATTATAATATTCACACTTGAACCCCTAATTACTGACTTCTGGTGGCAGAAAAATGCACATTATGTATGACCTATGATGTAAGATGGATTTATAGCGGAAGCTCTAATAGACTCATCTCGTGGAAACCACATATCACATACTTTGTTTACCTCAAAAGATGATGACAAACAAGAAAACTGATTGACTGATAATGTTTTATACCTGTTTGTATACTTCCAATCGCACATAACCTGCATTCGGCTGCCACCAGAAGACAGAAAAAAGTCACACACAGCGAATGTCGTTGAGTCGAAGGTTGAGTCAATTTAATATTTTAGGTGAAGTATTCCTTTGTTTGATATTTTATGTGTTCAGAGCTGGTCTTCTGCTGACCTTTTGTAACAAATAATTAAACCTCTCTCATTTTGAAATACTCATTTGAAACAAATGATTTTAATGCCAAATTTTAAAAAAAAATCCCTCGAATAGCAAAAAACGATAGCACTCGCTTGAAGTGTTTTTTTTTACTCTAACGAAAAGGGTTAAAAGAAAAGTTCACCCAAAAATTTCAGTTTACTTATCTTTTACTGTATCTCAAGTGGTTCCAAATCTTTGAGTTTCTTGCTTTTATCACAAAACAAGATATTTTAGAAGTTTTTAAATATATTCAAGAAGTTTTGAAAAAAAAAAAAACTGAAAACCTGTAACCATTGTCTTTAATAGTAGTACAGACATATACCATGGAAGTCAATGGTTACAGGTTTTCAGCTTTTTTTTTTTTTTTTCAAAACTTTTGTGTTTAATAGAAAAAAGAAAGTCAAACAGGTTTGCACCAAGTGAACGTGGTGCATAAAATAATGATCTAATTGTCAGTTTTAGGTGAACTATGCCTTTTTAATGCAAATAATAGGAGATGGATACACATTTGCCAAATAAACTGTCTCAGTGAACATACTGTAACAAAAATCAACTGTTTCTGCTGATAAGGCCTCGTTGACTGTTGGTTATGCTACCAGTAGTTCAATCAGCTGTTCTAACAACTGAATGGAAATGAACCTACAATTAAAAGTTAGAATTATTAGCCCCCCTGATTTTTGTTTTTCCAATGTCTGTTTGTTGGAGAGATTTTTTTCAACACATTTCTAAACGTGATAGTTTTAATAACTCATTTCTAATAACTAATTTGTTTAATCTTTGCCATGATGACAGTAAATATTTTTTTACTAGATAATTTTCAAGTCATTTCCATTCAGTTTAAAGTGACATTTAAAGGCTTAACTAGGTTAATTAGGTGAACTAGGCAGGTTAGGATAATTAGGCAAGTTATTGTATAACGATGGTTTGTTCTGTAGACTATCAAAAATATATAGCTTGAAGGGGGTAAATGGTTTTAAAAACAAAAAAACAAATAAGACTTTCTCCAGAAAAAAAATATTATCAGACGTACTGTGAAAATTTTCTTGCTCTGTTAAACATTTGGGAAATACAAAATTAACAAGTGTGAACTACAGTTGATGTCAGTTTATATATATATATATATATATATATATATATATATATATATATATATATATATATATATATATATATATATATATATATATATATATATTAAAGAAATCTTAGGGGGTCTTATAATTCTGACTTCAACTGTAGTTCACACTTGTTAATTTTGTATTTTTTTCACGATTCACTTCACATTAGAATGAAAATCCATCTACTGAATGTGATCTGTTTTTTTAAACTATTGTCTATGAACTCTGCAAATGATTATGTGTGAAAATCCCACTTGATCAACAGTTTCTAAAGTAATCATCATGCCCATCTGACATGAACAATCATCTGTGTTAGTCAGCAGTTCAACAAATCTGCTTGCCTAATTTGCCTTGTGATTGACTAATTTGTTATTTGTGTAAAAAAAGCTGAAAAGGATACCAAAAAAATGGCCTGTGAGTGTATATTATATACCAAAACTGAAAAAAAAAAAATATCAAATTATATATATTAAGGCTACACAATGTATCGTTTTACCATTGATATCGCAATGTGTGAATAAGCAGAAAACACATCTCAGGATCTAAAAGAAATATTGAGTTGATTAAAATAACCAGGAACCACTGATGATTTGTGGAGTCAGCCAAATTTGAACCCTAATAGAAAGAAAGATTTTCATTTGTTGATGTTTTTTAAGGAACTGTCACTAAGATATCAAGTGATATCTTTATCAAGATATCAAGTGATATATATATATATATATATATATATATATATATATATATATATATATATATATATATATATATATATATATATATAACAAGAAATTTTAATTTTGAAGTTTAGATATTTAACAAAGGTTCAAGTGCATTTAAGAAGGATGCTGGTTCGATGCACTATAAAATGAGCAGATTAGCAGTGTTAAATTCTCATTCTGTATGTGCATCTCAAATTGCATGCTTATGTACTATTCTGTGCCATTTTGTATTATAAAATGTGCAATCTGTGTGTTCACAATGAAATATTTTTATTACAAAAGTAATAGGCGACATGGTAGCTCATTGGTTAGCTCTGTTGCCAACCAGCAAGAAGGTCACTGGTTCAAGTCTTTGCTGGGCCAGTTGGCATTTATGTGAGTTTGCATGTCCTCCCCGTGTTGACGTGGGTTTCTTCCGGGTGCTCCAGTTTCTCCCACAGTCCAAACACATGCGCTATAGGTGAATTGAATAAACTAAATTGGTTGTGTATGACCGTGTGTGTGAATGAGTGTGTGTGGGTGTTTCTCAGTACTGGGTTGCAGCTGGAAGGGCATCCGCAGTGTAAAACATATGCTGGATAAGTTGGTGGTTGATTCTGTTGTGGATACCCCTGATGAATAAAGGGACTAAGCTGTTTATTCTACGAAATGGCATAGAATGGTACACAATTTAAGACACAAATACAGACTGAAAATTTAGCACTGCTAATCATTTTTAAGCGTGGCCGATTAATCACCATTTACTTTCTGGGCAGTTTAATAAAAGTCTTTTAAGTTCTCCAGAAGTAGGTCTGAAAAGCTTGTAAGAATGAACAAATCATGTTGTTGTGCATCTGTGTAATATTTTCTGATCTTCTTGACACTTGCAGTTCTTGATGTCGGGATGGGCAACAACGTACACTTGGAGATGTGACCTTTGTGACCCGTCCAGCAGTCCTCAAGCTCTCAGAGTAAGTTTACTTCTTTCAAGCATGTCCTTCTGTTCCTCAAACTTCTGAACAAGCAGTTTGACTCATTATGTTTCTCCTTGTATCCTCAGATGGTTAGAGCGGCCTGGTTGTTCTATTTTTCCAAATATATTGAACTTCTCGATACGGTGAGAAATGGAATCGTTTGTTATGTCTCCGTTAAAATGTTAAAGGGATAGTTCACCCAAAAATAAAAATGTACTCGTTATTTACTCAAACAGGTTTGGAACGGGTAAATGATGACAGAATTTTCGTTTTTGGGTGAAGTATGCCTTGAATTGAATTGCTGTTTTTGAAGTAAGTCATAATGTGAACTAAATCTGTTTCTGTGATTCAGGTGTTTTTTGTGTTGAGAAAGAAGCACAGTCAGGTGACGTTCCTGCATATCTTCCATCATTCTGTCTTGCCTTGGACCTGGTGGTGGGGCATCACACTTACTCCTGGTGAGACTAAATCTGGTTTATAGATCGGTAGTGATTAACTTGTGGCTTGCTTTAAGACCCATAGACACATTCAGGCTTACATTATTTAATTAAACCACAATTATCAATCCAAACCTGCCATGCATGAACACACTCTTACAAATCAATTTAGGAGATTTTAGGGTATTTGTGTTCCCTACTAGAATACTAATTTTGTTCTCCTGTGTGTAAAAAGTTACTACATGAGAATTATGGTTGTTTGCTAACTGTTCTAAAGACATGCAATTGCAATCATTTCTATACATTTTCTTGTGAAATTTACAGCGGGTGGCATGGGTTCTTTCCATGCTTTGGTCAACGCCTGTGTCCATGTCATCATGTACACATACTATGGTCTGGCTGCTGCAGGGCCTCGTTTCCAGAAGTATTTGTGGTGGAAAAAGTACATGACTGCTATCCAGCTAGTAAGTATTGACTCAATAACACTTTCTTTTAGTGATTAAAGGGAATTTGGGATTAAGAAGATTCATTTGTTCACTAAACAATAAACATTCTACCATCATTTACTCACAATCAGAATTAAGTTATAAAGTAACTAATCACTGTAATTAAATTACTTTTCTGCTGAAAAGGTAAAGGGATTACTTTCAATTTTTGGGTAGTCTGATTACAATTACTTGCCTAAAATACTTTACATAAATTCAATAGGCATGTATAAATCAATTCAGAGGAGAATATATATAGCAAAAAATATGAGCAATATCACACAAGTAGCAGTGCCATATGGCTGTAAATTGGCACTCGTGAGAGGTGTGCCTTAGTGTCCCACCAGTGACAATGCTACTTGTGTGTATATAAAAAAAGAAAATTAAACATGGAGAGTCTCAAAAGCCCTATTGAACGCCATTCATTCACATCTGCAGCTGACGTCAGAACAGCAAAAACTGTTGCTACTTCACAAATGTCCCTTTAGAGCTAGCATTTGAATGGTTTTCTAGCGTAATATCTGAAGTGATGACAAAACAGGTGATTCTGCTCACATTTTAAGAGTATACGGCTGAACAGCATGAAATGTCATCAGTCTAGAGATACTTCCCAGTATTTCTCTGTTGCAATCAGGAAATCACAATAACTAACCTCGAAAAAGCCAAAGCAGTGCAAACAGAGAAGATTAGCAGATTACTATGGTATAAATACAGAGAGATCGACTTCGAATCTCACCTTTACCTGATTTAAATGATTTGATCAGTTTTTCTGCAATTAATTATATAAATAAATAAAGAAACTTCATAGTTGCAATCTAAATAACTACATTCTCACCTAAAAAGCCTCAAAAGTTCATTATGTTGTGCAACAGCTGCAATATTTGTCAAACTGTAATGAGTTTATTGATCTGCTGTGCGAGCACAGTAATACAGAAGGGTGAGTTAAGGCTACCATTCTAGAACAGAACTGAATATATATATTAGGCTTGGGCAGTATCCAAATTTTGAATTTCCCTATTTTACCCTGGTATCCGGTATTACCGTGCATAATAAAAAAAATTATGACGTAAGGCTTAGACATCGTCACCAAACTGTTGGCTTGTGCCTAAACCATTCAGAAACTGAATACTGTATATATTTGACCTTAGGTTCGCAGTCACCTGTTAGTCTTGTTGGTATCAGAGATCTGCGCAGGATGATCTCTCTCATTCACACACACACACATAAACGCACGCATGCATGCGCACACACACAAAGACAGCACCAAGCGACACACAGCACTACGATCTCTCTCTTTTTCACACACACACACACACACACACACACACACACACACACACACACACCATCCACACGGATATGCGTGTTCTTGCTCGGGAGCTAGACCACGTGCCCACTCTCTTTCAAATCACACCACAGTTACCAACTGCTCCCGCGCTATATTTGGAAATTTGTTCCCGCACCACAAGAAATCTGGTGGGCTCCCGTGGTACAGCAGCAGGAATGCAGACCTCTAATTTGTATTTACTACGTCTCCCTTTTCGTTCGGTCGAAACCGAAAATACATTTTACATTTATTAAGGCAACTACATATGAAAAAAAATTGCAATTAGTTCACAAAAGTATAAGGTATAAAATCCGAGTAATTTTAATTATGTATGTTGTGTTGTTCTGATATTTTGCCAGATTGTATTTGTTCGATAACTGCACATGCTTTAAAAACAATTAAGCCGCTTTTCCACTATCGTGCTGAATCGTTCTTTAAACAGAACTGTTCCATTCCGTGCCAAACCGGGCCAGACAGCACGGATACGGTTTCATTTTCCACTGTCGTGTTGCGACAAAGCTCTTTAAAACATTACACAAAACGCATCAGTAGTTGCCTTGGTAACGCAATGTAAACGGCTCCCTTTGTTCAACTAAAGTTAAATAAGAGCCGAAACGATTTTTTTTTTTTTCATAAAAGCAAAAGCAACCATGTGACTAAACACTGTTATGCCGCTCTATGAAATAGGGGTGCTAAATGTGCACCCTTATTTATTTATATGTTGCGCAGCTCTGGCTAAATTTTATTTGGAGGGAAAATTACCAAAATGTAACGTGATGATTAAAAATAATTGGAGGGGAAATAAATAATATTTAAAATCTCTGAACATAACAGAAAAATAAACAATGATAAGACAACAAAAATAGTGCATTTGTATTATAGTGGCAGAAATATAATTTTGTACAGGCCTTGTCAAAGGTGAGCGGGCATGTTTCTCCCAGATCAGAGCGAGTTTTGTGCTGTGAAATACAGCGCTGCGTGCAATAAACTCACATTCAGCAGGCGAAGTAGGTCTGTATTCAAGTCAATAAAATAATAACGTTAATGAATAAAATATCTTCTTAAGAATGTGATGAGTTATTCACTTCTCTGCCAGAGACTGCTCTATGCTCTCATCCCATACGATCCCATACGAACCACTAACATCATTAATTTAGGAAATCATCCACCCTTTTCAAACTGTATCGTTTTGACCTGGATCGTTATTTTATATTAAATGTACTGTAGTTTATTGAGGATGTCTGATGACGAGCGCGCTTCTGCTGAGCCAGCTGTGGTAGCTTAGCAACCGAGTCGCGACGTCAACACACAGAATCTGTCAGCACAGTTCAGCACGGTTGTCTAACTGTGCCGAGAATTCCGGGCTGAGAACGGTTTGTAATCGTGCCGCGCCGTTCCAGGCTCAGTGGAGAAACAACCGTAACCGTACCGAAGTGTTCTTAGAACGGTTTGGCACGATAGTGGAAAAGCAGCTTTAGTTTCAAAATGTATGCCAATATACATAATACAGCATGTATGAAATATGGTTTCACTAATTTTAGGTGTTTTGTTGCATGTATTGTTTACAATATTTCTGTAATAAATTATTTGTGATTATTCGGTAAAACAAATCTAAAAGGTCCTGTTTGACATTCATTTTTAAGAATTAAGAGTTTTATTTTTATTGTATATGCACCGAGATGTATGTGGATTAATATTTAGTCAAATCAGTTTGTTCGTATTTAGTAACCAAGTTATTTTTCAGACTAAGTAATTAAATTCAATGGTAACGATGTAATTAATAATTAATTACATTTTTGAAGTATTTTACCACCCAGCATTACTCGCAGCCAACTTGTTCTAAACCTGTTTGAGTTTCTTTCTTCTGTTCAACACAAAAGTTGATACACTGAAGTATGCTGGGGAAAAGGTAGCCATTGACTTCCATGGTATTTTTCATTCCTACTATGGGTATCAGAGGCTGCTTTTTTCAATATTCTTCATGAAATCTAAATTTTCATTCAACAGAAGAACAAAACTCAGTTTAGAACCACTTAAGTGTGAACTAATCAGACCCCCTAGTTTGTCAGTTTTTTTTTTTTTTTTTTTTTTTTATGATTTTTTTGCAATACAAATGACATGGACCTCACTCAGGACATGTATTAGGGCTTCCCTACAGTAATACATGTAAAACACAGATTGCTGTAAAACTCGTCACTGGCAGCAAGCATTTTATATCGTTAACTGCAGGGAAAGAGTTAAACGAAAACATTTATCGATTTTACACACACCATAATACCACCCATACATGTAAAGCACAAATACTGTCCTTCAATTTGGTCACATCCTTGAACCAATCTCCATCATTGTAAGCTGTTTGCTGTTCTGTCTGTTCCATTGCTTCGATTTGTTTGCTCAAACTTTCTTTTGCAATCTTTTACGTCAAACACACAAAACGGCCATCACGACACTGGAGTGATTTACACATGAAGTCAATGCAAAGATTGGATTAGGCATCCCATTTCAATCTTTGCATTGCCTTCATGTGTAAATCCCTCGCGTTTCATCCGCGTCTGCTTACTGCACAGGCTGCAAACCAATTCTGTCCTTTTCCATGTATTGTTTGGATTGTGAGGGCGCATGTGAGACGTCATTCTTTAAGAGACAGTCAAATATTTCATGTGCGCTGGGTATGCAACATTGATAAGTTATGTAAAACAATAAATTGCAAGCTGAAATTGACTATAATTTGATTATATGGTTTTGGAATTGGATGTTTTATGAGATTATTGATTTTTTGTGATTTTACTTAAGAATGAAATTTAATTAAGAATTTAATTAAGAATTTTGCAGGATCTCAAAAATTTGCAGTTTTTTGTTGATTTTGGGTTGGATTCAATGATCGTGGATTTGCAAAAACTAGGAGGTCTGGCTAATGTTGAGGAATTTTTCATTTTGGGGGAAACTATTCCTTAATATTCAGTTTTATTCAATTCATCTTTATTTCTATAGCGCTTTTACAATGTAGATTGTGTCAAAGCAGCTTAACATAGAAGATTATGCTAAAAGAGATTATACACTGAAGAGCAAATCCATCAATGCGCAGCTCCACAAGTCCCAAACCAAACAAGCCGTTGGCGAGAAACAAACTCCACCAAATGACGAAAGTGAAGGAAAAACCTAAACCTAGAGAAAAACCAGGCTATCCCATTCATAGTCATATCCCATTGTCTCCTATTCCATATGAACCACATTCGCTTCAAGAAGTGTCACTAATGACATTTGTGCTGCATTTTCATTTCCGCAGATTCAGTTTGTGCTGGTGACTGGCCATATCTCTCAGTATTACTTCATGGAAAAGTGTGACTACCAAGTTCCCATCTTCATTCACCTCATCCTGATCTACGGCACCTTCTTCTTCATCCTGTTCTCTAACTTCTGGATCCAGGCCTATATTAAGGGGAAGCGATTACCAGTTTCCAATGAGGACAAACCTAAACGGAACGGAGTCATCACTGTGATTGACCCTGTGGTAGTGGCCAATGGCAAACACTTGGAAAACGGTAATGCGCACTACAGCAATGGATTTGCCCACAACGGGAAAGTGAAGGAAGTCTGAACCAGTCAAAACACAGCCTTCTGGAGTATCAAAGACATCATTGTTAGATTATTGTTATTGTTTTGTTCAAATCGATACGTTTTATGATAGTATGGGAGATGAAACGGCACGTTGGATCTGGCGATGGGTCTCCCTTTTTGTGTGTTTGTGGATGTTGGAGTTTGGGGAGCACTATGCATGAAGAGAGTTCGTCCACTGAAGTCGGCTTGGTTGACGTCGCTCTGACACCTGACAGCATCTCTACGGTTTAATCTGGTTGACCTGAGCTTTTTTGTTTCCTGGCATATGAGTCTCCCAGTGGTTTGCACATTGTACAGTTCTCACAGATCTAACTCAAACTTGACTGTAAATAAATGTTTCCTCACAATCGATTGGAAATGTACGAGTTGTTCATTTTCTTTTTTGTTTGTATGTTTGTTCATAACTTATCAGTTAATGTTTTCTTTTTATAATAAAATAGATTTTTTTTGCTTTACCTATTTTTATGCTTTATTTGTGAAGTGTTTTTTGCTGCTGTTGTTGTTGACAAAATAAGTGTAGTTTATATGTTTAGGATCTATTTATATACTTACAAATATGCTACTGTCCATTAGGTTTTAAAATAAATTCTGTTAAACGCCCACAAAAAAAATGTTTTGAAAAATGTTTCAAACCTGTTACCATTGGCTTCCATGGTAGAAAAAACAAATAATATTAAAGTAAATAGTTAGAGATTTTCAGCTTTTCATGAAGGTTTGGAACCTCTCGAGCAGGCATGTCCAAACTCTGCCCTGGAGGGCCGGTTTCCTGCAAAGTTTAGTTCCAACCCCAATCAGACACACCTGTGCTAGCTAATCAAGCTCTTACTAGGCTTTCTAGAAACATTCTTGCAGGTGTGTTGAGGTAAGTTGGAGCTAAAATCTGCAGGACACCTGCCCTCAAGGACCGAGTTTGGCCACCCCTGCTCTAGAGGGTGAGTACATTTTCCTCATGCCCATTCAATTTGAGGCTATCCAAAATGTCTCATTTAGTGTTGCATTCTTAAAGGGTTCATTCATCTAAATATGAAAGTTCTGTTATTAATTACTCGCCCTCACTTTGTTCTAATCTTCTGAAACCTTTATTCATCTTCGAAACACAAATTCTGAGAGCTCCCTCATCCTCCATAGACCTTAATAGCCCGAGACGTCCTGAAAAGAAAACCAAAATCTTGTCAAAACAGTTCATTTGATTTGAGTGGTTTAAATGTAATAATATGAAGCTCAGAGAATACTTTTGTGTGCCAAAAAAAAAAAAAAAAAAACTGCTAAAAGACTTGGAGAGAAAAATAGAGATATTGTGCACCATAACAAAGTCCCTTTAAGGCAAGTAATTTTGCTCAGTGGGTCATTTGAAACGCCTCTCAGGCAGTATGCTCAAGCATTCTGTTTGAATAGAAAAACATCTAATTCTCCAAAATAGCTTGGAGAATTAGATGTTTCCCTATTCAAACAGAATGCTTCCAGAATGCATCTGTGAATTACATCGACAGAACCAGTGAAAACACTCAATTTCACTCGAATACGCCCCACCCACTGATTAGTGTCAATAAAAGGAAAACTTAAATGTTAAAGAAACACAATTGAAATTAAATTCAAAAATTGAATTTTATTGTTTATAAATAATCTTGCAGAACTGTGAACATTACATTTCATATCAGCAGGGGAGATTGGTAATGTTTTAAGCAGAAATTAACTTTTGCTGTGGTTATTAACTCATAAGAGTGGTCTACCAAAATCAGGCGTTTTGTTTCAATGTAGAACAACTCCAATATAGCTTCACTTTAAACTCAATTTACACAGCAACATTCGCTAAATTTACTGACTTAATCTTATTTATTTTAAATCTATCCGACTATGACCTTCTTTATTTCAACTGCAAATATATTTTGTCCTTTAATTTGGCAAAAAATATTGAACTGCATTTTCATTTTAAATTCCTGCTCCATCAAATGTTTCAATTTTAAATTTTTTTTATTATTAATTTTATTATATGCATTCATTTCATAAAACATATCAATCAAAGCACAGAACATTTTAATATGGAACTGAAAAATAAGTTTGTCTATTAGCAGAGGGACATAACTTACTTTCATTCCCACATGAACTCCTGCCATTTAAACCTGATTTACTTTTAAACTGAAAAAAGATAAAATATTTAAGGATGTGTTGTTGACCTAAATAACATGTAGATTGATATTATTTTGGCACATGAAAAAAGAAACACAACTTGCAATAATAATAAAAAAAAAAATAAAAAAAAGAACCGGTACAATAACTTACTTTCGGCACTTAACTGTAACAGTCCTGAAATCACATGATATTTGGCAGCTCCATCAAGGTGTGCATGCTAGGATCAGGGTGAGGGCAGGTTGGAGCACTCACTCTGATCCCCCAGGCTCTGCGTTGGTTGGGGAAATTCCAAATTGAACCAGAAGAAACAAATACATTTGGCTTAAGATTGGCAAGGAAAACTCTGTAAAACTACTTCCCCTTTCCTAAACTTTGAAATGCCTACTTGACTACATCCAATTAACTTCCAGCCAAATAAACTTTTTTTTTTTTTTTTGGTGTGTATAACTAACTTTAAAATGAAAAAAAAAAATTATTACATTTAAATAATTTTTTTATTATAAAATATTATTTATTTATATTTATTAAATTGACTGTGTATTATATATATATAATATATAATAAATAATATTTTATAATAAAAATTTATTTTTTAAAAAAATGTAATAAATAATCATTTTAAATAATATTTTTTTCATTTTTAAAGTTAGTTATACACATCAAAAAAAAAAAAAATTAATAAATCAATTTATTTTCCCAGTATTGTGCAACCAAGTCATACATGCATATTATGATCTTAGAAACATCATAATTATTCATTTCTTGAGCTGATGAACTTAAACTGACCACACAATGACACCAGGAGACTGAGGAATTTAATTCAACAAACTGCCAGTATGGTAAACACTGCAAAAAGCTAACACAAGTGATTGTTACAAGTTTAAACCACTATTAAATCAGAACATCAATTACAATGCAATTACAAAATACATATGAAAAGACAGACGCAATTACTCTTAAACTTTATTTGCAAAACTTACATTACTGTACATAACTTAAAGATCATTGATGGTTAAATATGCAAAAATGTCAGTATGAAAGTCACTGAAAAGTTAACTTTCAAAGGACATGGTGTTCTAGTAATCCCATTTAGCAGCCATGCTCATCCCTTTAAAAACATTACGCCTCCGAGAACGCAAACAAGAAAGGTGTCCAATAAAATCTAGTGTAGAGCTTGACGGCACAGCATACATGAACAAGTTCTTGAAAACCCAAACCTAAAGGGGAGCTTCTAATGAACATTTGGAGGTGTTCAAAAGAAACATCCAACTGCTGTTTGCTGGAGGCATTAAAAATGAGCATTTCAAAATTATCGGATACTTTGTTGAACGATCCTGCCACTGGCCTGCTTCGGTTTCTTGGCAGCATCCTTTTCCTTTTCAAAACACTTCCAAAGTCTGATGGTTTCGTCAGCTGCAATTGAAGCCAGCGTGGAACCGTCTGGACTCAGTGCCAAGTTGAGGATCCTGGCTTCATGTCCTGAGATAAATAATCAGAGAAGATTGGGAAATTAAAACTACGAATTTGACAAGATTAACAATATTTCAGCCAAATAAAGAGCAGCTTAAAGGTGACCTACTATGCCCTTTCAAAATATGTAAACTCCGATGTCCCTAAAATGTGTAAGTGAAGTTCTAGTTCAAAATTAAACCCAAATAATGTTTTAGAAGTCTTTGAAATTGCCCATTTTAAGCTTTGATCCTAATGGTGCCCGTCACTTCAATATCAAAGAAGTGTGATCGCAGTTCTCCTTTTAAAAAGTGTGAGGTTACAAATGCCTGTGTGTCAGCATAGTGGCAGATTATAAATCAAGACCATAAGGGATATAGTAACTAATAGGTGGACTTTTCCTTTCTGATAACATGAAAAAAGGGAGAAGGTCAAATCAAAGCCACACGACAGTGTTTAAATGTTTTATAAACGTGATATTGCATAACAGGTTCCCTTTAAAGAGATTCTCAAACTTGCCTTCGTGCTCTGTAACTTTGGCGAATGAGGGGTATTTCCAGATGACAACCTTGTCATGTGCAAAGCCATGGCCCGACACCAATTCTTTGTAATTGGGTGCAAAAACAAGAGAAGAAACCTGAAAGAGACAAGATATAATTTACAGTGGTCCCTCAATATTCACTGGAGTTACATTCTAAAAATAAACTGCAACAGGCGAAATCCGAGAAATGACAGCTTTATTTATTACAACTATTGTAAATGTTTTAAGGCTGCAAAACCCCTCACTAAGCACTTTAAACTCTTCTCAGACAGCCATTAACATTTGCACTTCTCTCACTCATTTAAACACACTCAAAGTTCAAACCTTTTTTTGAAAAGAAGCCCATTATTATTGAATTAAACCAAAGATCAAAACCTGTTGTCAGATGCAAACATTCATCTCTGTTGTACAAAAGTTTTTTTAGCTTTTGTGTGGATAATGTTGGCATCCAGCGTAATGTTCATTTTCCTGCAGTCACTGATCCACAAAACTAGCAGACTCCTTCCTTAAGGGGGTCGCACAACAGATACACTGCGCACATCTTAGTTGGAACCAGACGCGCACATTTTCTTGTTTAAAATTAAATTATTCAGGTGGGCCTCTGTGGCGCATTGGAAATGGGAACGGTGTCCTGAGTTGTAGCTAGGCACTGCAGACAGCCACCGACTTGCAGCACCGGTGTGCGTGAGTTTCCTGATAGAAAACACAGCACATCCAGTGTGCGACCCGTTTTATGATGGTATTGCTGCAAACAGTTTCAACCTTTTTGCATTCCTGCTCAATTTGCACCACAGTGTTTGGGTGCTCTGCGTTTGTCAGAGGTAAATAAATTACTGTTCTTAAAGAAAGGTGTATAAATCTACATCTCTGCAGCGAGGTTGCAGAAAAAAAATAGAGCGCCAGCATTTGCAGCGGGGAATGACATCCAATGCAGTACAGAATTTGTTGTTGTCTTAAAGACAAGTTATATTTATTACATATAATTCACTGAAAGCATTATGTAAAGAGTATAAAAGCTTGTCACCGACTGATAAGCAGTTATTTGGCAAAATTAACATTAAAGGGTACGAAACACCAAAACACATTTTTTGAGCCGTTGACAGTCGTATATGTGTTCCATACTGCTAAAAACACTATTAGGACACTATTATTCACTAAAAAGTGAAAATTGGTTGTTTTTGCATTAAAGCAAATTTTTGTAGCTGCATCACGGCCATGAGATCTTAGCGTGTATTCCAGCGTGTAGACTGGACGTCTGTACCTTAGCGTCCCGTATTATGTCTCTGAGTGTTGCATTCCTCATGAGTAAGGCTTGGTTCAAACCAATCAGCGCGCTC